GAAAGGAAGGGTATTTAAGGTGACTAACTGGGTCTCGTTGGTGACTTAATTGGTGAACTTGAGGGATTGGTGTGTTCATAGGTGTAATTACAGGGACTGGTGATTAATGAGTTAACTACAGTGATTGGTGACAGTAACCATGATTAAGTAACTAGTATCGGTAACAGTGTACAGGTCGCGTCACACACCACACACACGTTACTGAGAGAGGTAATAATAACATTTGAGACTCTGGTAATATTGGATCTATAAAGTAACCAAGACTTACATATTATAAAACCACAAAAAGATGGTGGTGATGGTGGTGATGGTGGTGATGGTGTGTGGTGGTGATGTTGGGGTATGTTGGTGTTGTTGGTGGTGGAATGTGGTGGTATTGGGATGTGTTTGTATTGATGTTTTCGGTGGTGGTAGAATGTGGTGGTGGTGGTGGTGGTGATGAAGCTGCCCACGCCACCATTGTTATGTGAGAGATGAGTGACAGCCGCTGCTTCTCCACGTGCATCTCACTGTGCCTCGATAATGTGGCTCATTCATTACCTAGCTCAGGGAGTATGACCACCATCCACAGGTACAACCCTCCTCCTCCACCCATCCCCCTGAGCTACGAACAGCATCACGTGTATTCTCCTCTCAGGGCTACCAATAACCTGAGGTGCGTCCCTGGTAATTAATCTGCATCCCTGATTACATTCAGGTGTATTGATAGCCAGGTGGGGTGCGGCGGCCTAGTGGATATAACACTGTCTTCCTGAGCCAGCGGTAACCGGCCCTAGCCCACCATCCAGCCACTGAGGGGGGCACCCCGAGTCGACCCAGCTGCATAATGTGTCTTATTTTATAATCGGGGAAAAGACGGATGGTAGAGGATGTCCTTGTGTTAGGCTTAGTTCCGTGTGCTGTAGCCACCCTGCATCAGGGTAATGTGAACCACGTTTAGTAAACAGGTGAAGGGTGTAGCCTATTCACCTCCCCTTGTCAACCTACCATCAGCCCGGCCTGGCGATTATCAGTAACTTATACTGGATTATCCCGTAAATAAAACGACGAGCAAACACGCCTCATCTAGTCACAGTATCTCAGGGAATATATTAATGAAAACTCCGCCGGATATCATCACTTAGTTAAGATTTCAACTCACTCGTCGTCTCGAGAAACACAAAACTTAAACTGTTATGTAAAGTTTTACTCGACATCAACATATATCCAGTAGCATCCTCCTCACACTCTTAGGACAACGGGAGCTGTTGACAAATTATTCCAGCAACAAAATAACAGTTTCCTCATCACCAGCAACATGATAATAGAACACCTGTACCAGTTATAACAGAATTGACCTAATAAGCTGACACAAAAACGATATAATACAGGTACACTAACGAGCTGTAGTGTTCTCCCTGATAACGAGTTAATGGCTCGTTCCAGTGGTGTTCAGCCTTTAGATTAATGGACACGTATCTTGAGACAATGTTTTCCTCTTACTTATGTCCACGTGTAAACAAAGACGATAAGTTAATGTGGCTCTACAACTGTTGATGTATAAATGTTAACTCTAATCCAGGGTAGAGGAGAGAGAGAGAGAGAGAGAGAGAGAGAGAGAGAGGCCAATATTCCTTCCTTTTCACATATGCCTACGAAGAAATGAGCTCCAAGTTATTCGTCTTCATTAAGTGGTAATATAGTAGTAGTAGTAGTAGTAGTAGTAGTAGTCGGTGAGTCAGAGGTAATAGTGGTGGTAGTTGAGTCACCTGGGGAAATAATGTACACACTCCCGCCTCGCTCTCGTCTGTACTAACTAATTGATGTGACAAACGAGGCTAGCGTACCATGACTACTGTATTGTAATTATGTGCACCGTGTGTGTGTGTGTGTGTGTGTGTGTGTGTGTGTGTGTGTGTGTGTCCAAACATTAATATACAGATGAGTTAACTAAAAACAACAACAAGACCTTGACCTAGTTACTACAATACATTGAAACCTCTATATAACGGACTATATGGGTGAAGGTGGTCCGGTAAATGCGAAATCTCCAAATAACGGATTGTATGGGTGATGCTAGTTCGTTAGTTCGAAGTCCGTTAGATGTGAGAGAAAGGAAAGAAAAAAGAAAGAAGGAAGGAAGAAAAGGAAGAAAGGAAGAAAAGAAGGAAGGAAGAAAAGAAGAAAGGAAGAAAAGAAGGAAGGAAGAAAGGAAGGAAAGAAGGAAAGAAGAAAAGAAGAAAGGAAGGAAGAAAAGAACGCAGAAACAAGAGAGATGGAGACGAGAGAAAATAAACTCGTGGAATATAAAAAAACTAAAAAAAAAAATCTATGTAAACTCGAGAAAAACCTAATGAAAATGTCACTCCTATTCGATTTAAGATATTAAATACTCCAGCAACTGTAACAAAGAAACAAATAGACAAAAACAAACAAACAAACACTGAGATTAACTAAGAGACTAGAAGCTGTTTTTTCAAGGCTATTATTCTTCGTCTTCCTGGGAAGGGTGGCTTAAAAATGCATGCTTTCTGTCCGTCTGTCTGTCCGTCCCTCTGTGTGTGTGTGTGTGTGTGTGTGTGTGTGTGTGTGTGTGTGTGTGTGTGTGTATTTGTAAGCATGTTATAGCTAGTTATATGCCAGACCCCTTGTTTATTTTAGTATATATTGGAGATATAAAATGTAAATGAAGACGAAACAACTGACCTGTGTTCTTTGACCTTGATTAACGGGGTCACCAATATGTGGTTAAGGTATTGATCCAGTGCACATAATGTTGAAAACTGATTGTCATTATCTCTCGGCGTTTATGACTCACAGCTGTTCGAACTTTGCCCAAGAAGTTTACAAGAAAAAAAGTGAAGAGTAGGATGATTTTGGGCGGTGGGTGAGAGGTGAGTGGTGATAAAGCCCTACCGCTGGTGTAGGATGTGGCGGCTGTTGTCATAATGAACTACAGACTTGTTAGCTTGTGGCTGGATATTTTATTTGTTTATTTATTTATTTTTTGCTAATTCTCTGGGTTTTTATTTAATTTACTAGGGATTTTTTGCCATTGTCGTGAAATTTTATCAACTGGGTTTTTTTGTTGCCAGTGTCAGGAAAATATGTCAATAATGTCTTAAGATTTACTGTTCTTGTCTGGGTATTTTTAGCTTGTGACTACAGTAACTCAGACCTGGTGGTTGATGGTGTCCCCTGACCTTTAGTAGGCCACGGGAATGTCCATGTCACTCGTCTGGCCGCCGTGAGTGACCGGGAGGAGTTGGCCAGCCCAAGATTTTGATACTATGAGGAGGAACAATAACCACGTTACTGTGAGTGACGGGTGACAGGCCAGCCGTCACTCACCACGCGCTACCAGAGGCGATCTATGGCTCTCTTATCTTAAAACAACAGCGTTTGCGACAGGACCGCTAGGCTACAGTACAAGGGACAGCAATGTGTGGGACTGTTAACACCAAGGGCTGTATCAAGGATCGTTAACACCGAGGACCGTTAACACCATGAACCGTTAACATTAAGGACCATTAACACCAAAGACCGTCAACACCGAGGGCTGTACCAGGGACCGTTAAAACCAAGGACTGTATCAAGTCCGTTAACACTAATGACCGCACCAAGGGCCGCTAACACCAATGACTGTATCAAGGACCGTTAACACCAAGAACTATATCAAGGACCGTTAACAACCAAAGACCGTTAACACCGAGGGCTGTACCAGGGACCGTTAACACCAAGGACTGTATCAAGTCCGTTAACACTAATGACTGCACCAAGGGCTGCTAACATCAAAGACTGTATCAAGGACCGTTAACACCAAGAACTATATCAAGGACCGTTAACACCATAGACCGTTAACACCAAGGACTATACCAAGGACCGTTAACACCATGGACCGTTAATACCAAGGACTATATCAAGGACCGATAACACCAAGGACTATATCAAGGACCGTTAACACCATGGACCGTTAACACCAAGGACCATGAACATATTTAGGATTTTTTATAAATTACATCATGATCTCAAATTGGTCTCTGGATTTTATCTCTTATATTATCGATTTTTGGTCATTTTTTTTTGAGAGATGATGACCACAATTTATGAGAGTCTAGCATTCTGGATTTTGGTCACGTCTTTATCTGAGAAAATTCTGGTTAAAGGTCGTGTCTCCTTGTTACTATGGACGCCGCTAGAGTGCTCACAGTCGAACACGTATACAGACAGACAGATGGACTGAACCAACAGACAGACAGACAGACAGGATATTGAACCCTCCTCCTCACTCTTCACTACTCTTCCTCCTCCTCCTTCCTTACCTCACTCCATTCCGTCCTGGTAGTTTAACTTTTTTCTTTTTTAATTCAACCAGGAAGGGAGTGTGGTGTGAGGCTCTGAGTGGGAGAACTGCTGGAGCGACGGTGGCGGCAGCAGCACGGGGGACCGGGCGCGTTGACATCACTCTTGTAACACACACACAGGCACTCACTCTCTCTGTCACTCTCACACACACACACACACAGGCACTCACTCTCACATACACTCACATATACAGTACAGTATACACACACACATACGGGAACTCACTCCTCATTTCACTAACACTTGTACCAAACTTGTGTCGACTTCTTCGAAAGTTTAGTGGGATTTAAAGACTTTGCTTAGAGATCGAGTTGCTTAGTTATAGAGAAGGCCAGACGGGCGGGGCAGTTGTCTGCTTGGACCAATCACCAAACTCAAAATCACCACCGTGTTATGGCTGCCTCTGATACAGTCATAGAAGCACGCAAGCAATACCCTCTTTAGGCTAAACGGTAGCATCATGAGGAAGGGGATAGTAAATAAGTCATTGTTAAAAGAATACCACGAACAGAAACACTAAACCACACAATCCAATTCAAACCTAACCCCAAATTACCCTTGGTTAGGTTAGGTTCGTGTTGTGTGCTCTCGGGGTAAGGGAGAGTTGGTTTAGCTGTGGTATTGTTGCAGCAGTGAGAGTCTCTGTGGGTACTCACCATGTCTGAGGCGAGGATGAGCGTGTGGTGACGAGGAGTGGCGAAGGTGGGTGAGCTGAGTGGATGCTAGGCCTCACCTGTTGCTGCTGGAGAGTGTGTGATCCAGCCCGCCCTCACCCCGCTCTTATACCCGACACCACCTGCGCGTCCACGCCTCCCTTCCTGCCACTCCTCCTACTACTCCTACTGCTCCTACTGTTCCCCGTCCTCCTCCTCCTACTGCTACTGTTACTCCTCCTCCACATCATCTTCGTCTTCATTCTCTTTTTCTTTCTTCTTCCTCATTTTCCTCCTGTTATTTTAATTCCTCCTTCTTCTTCCGATCTTCCCAATTCTTCTCCTCTTTCTCTTGGTCTTCTCGATCCTTCTTCTTCGCCTCCTCTCATCCTCCCCCTCCTGTACAACCCCCACTCATAAACACCCCCCCACCACCCCCCCTCCCTCCTTTCTACTGTTGGTACTGCTTATGCCACCCGCCCACACGTAAACGACCCCTGCCCACACGTCACACCCACCGCCCTCACCACCCCCACACCCCTTCACCCCTCTATTGCTGTCCACACACTGTACCGCCCACACTTATGCCCTCACACCCACTTCTTTACCCAATTCCCACACCACCACCCCATTCCACCCACGCACCCACCCACTCCAGCTGTTACCCACCACCCCCATCCACCACAGCGCTACCCACACCACCCACACCACCCACACCACCCACACCACCCACACCACCCACACTACCCACACACCCACACCACCACCCACACCACCCACTGCCACCCACACACCCACCCACACCACCCCACACTACCCACACCACCCACCTTGCCTGACTTCGATTCACCAAGATTCTTAGAAATATTATTCTTCAATAAGATTAACCTTTTTTGAGGACGATGGTTTAAGCTTCTGCTTGAGGACGATGGTTTAAGCCCTTTGAGGACGTGGTTTAAAGCTTTTTGAGGACGAGATGCGTTTAAGCTGTACCCCCTTTGAGGACGATGTTTTAAGCTTACCCCCTTTGAGGACGATGATTTAAGCTTACCCCGTTTGAGGTCGATGTTTTCTGTACCGTTTGAGGACGATGTTTGCTGTACCCCTTTGAGGACGATGACTGTCCTTGAGGACGATGTTTAAGCTGTACCCCTTTGAGGACGATGGTTTAAGCTACCTACTTTGGGACGATGGTTTAAGCTGTACCTTTGAGGACGATGGTTTAAGCTGTACCCGTTTGAGGACGATGTTTTAAATGTACCCCGTTTGAGGACGATGTTTGCTGTACCCTTTGAGGACGATGATTTAAGCTGTACCTTTGAGGACGATGTTTAAAAATTCCCTTTGAGGACTTATGATTTAAGCTGTACCCTTTGAGGACGATGATTTAAGTGTACTTTTGAGGACGATGTTTTAAGTTGTACCCTTTGAGGACGATGGTTTAAGCTGTTGCCCCTGTTTGAGGACGATGTTTGCTTGTACCCCGTTTGAGGACGATGTTTTGGCTGTACCCTTTGAGGACGATGTTTTTAAGCTGTGCAGGACGATGATTTAACCCTTTGAGGACGATGTTTTAAGCCGTACCCCTTTGAGGACGATGTTTTGCTTTTTTTGAGGACGATGGTTTAAGCTCGAGAGGACGATGGTTTGGCTGTACCTTGAGGACGATGGTTTGCTGTACCCGTTTGAGGACGATGTTTGTTACCCCGTTTGAGGACGATGTTTTTAAGCTGTACCTTTGAGGACGATGATTTAAGCCACCCTTTTGAGGACGATGATTTAAGCTGTACCCCTTTGAGGACGATGATTTAAGCTGTACCCCTTTGAGGACGATGTTTTAAGCTGTACCCCCTTTGAGGACGATGGTTTAAGCTGTAACCTTTTGAGGACGATGGTTTAAGCTTTGACCCTTTGAGTACGATGATTTAAGCTGCAACCCTTTGAGGACGATGATTTAAGCTGTAACCTTTTGAGGACGATGTTTTAAGCTGTAACCTTTTGAGGACGATGGTTTAAGCTTTGACTCATTGATTACGATGGTTTAAGCCTTAACCCTCTGAGGACGAGGTTTTAAGCTGTAACCTTTTGAGGACAACGGCTTAAGCTTGAGCCCTTGAGTCACCTCCCTAGTTTTATCACTCAAAAATAAAGTGTTATTAAGAAAACGTCTTTGTATGCGACAGTCATGGAGTAATTCTGCCTCCATTTTGAAGTTCTGTTTATTTAGAAGCCATTTTACATGTCCAGAGTCCAGGAATATTTATCAATCGAATAAATCTTCCTGTTTTTTTATTTCCTTTTATTGGTTTGTTATTCATTACACTGGGGTAAATTAACATAGAGCCCCCCGGCTATACTCCATATTTAACAGATGGCAAGCGTATTCGTTGATGCCCAGCCAGGACCGCTCTCATTGGTTGACGTCACGCGTGTGGGCAGAGTTGCAATGACGTCATAAGTGTGGGCCGTGCTGTAGCAACATCACGTGGTGGCGATGTTATAGTGATGTTACACCAGTATGGACGGTGGTAGAGTGATGTTACACTAGTATGGACGGTGGTACAGTGATGTTACACTAGTATGGACGGTGGTACAGTGATGTTACACTAGTATGGACGGTGGTACAGTGATGTTACACTAGTATGGACGGTGGTACAGTGATGTTACAATCAGTATGGACGGTGGTACAGTGATGTTACACTAGTATGGACGGTGGTACAGTGATGTTACTAACTAGTATGGACGGTACAGTGATGTTACACCAGTATGGACGGTGGTACAGTGATGTTACACCAGTATGGACGGTGGTACAGTGATGTTACACTAGTATGGACGGTGGTACAGTGATGTTACACTAGTATGGACGGTGGTACAGTGATGTTAAACTAGTATGGACGGTGGTACAGTGATGTTACACCAGTATGGACGGTGGTACGGTGATGTTACACCAGTATGGACGGTGGTACAGTGATGTTACACCAGTATGGACGGTGGTACAGTGATGTTACACTAGTATGGACGGTGGTACAGTGATGTTACACTAGTATGGACGGTACAGTGATGTTACACCAGTATGGACGGTGGTACAGTGATGTTACACCAGTATGGACGGTGGTACAGTGATGTTACACCAGTATGGACGGTGGTATGATGTTACACCAGTATGGACGGTGGTACAGTGATGTTACACTAGTATGGACGGTGGTACAGTGATGTTAACCAGTATGGACGGTGGTACAGTGATGTTACACCAGTATGGACGGTGGTACAGTGATGTTACACTAGTATGGACAGTGGTACAGTGATGTTACACTGTATGGACGGTGGTACAGTGATGTTACACTAGTATGGACGGTGGTACAGTGATGTTACACCAGTATGGACGGTGGTTCAGTGATGTTACACTAGTATGGACGGTGGTACAGTGATGTTACACCAGTATGGACAGTGGTACAGTGATGTTACACCAGTATGGACGGTGGTACAGTGATGTTACACCAGTATGGACAGTGGTACAGTGATGTTACACCAGTATGGACGGTGGTACAGTGATGTTAACACCAATATGGACGGTGGTGGTACAGTGATGTTACACCAGTATGGACGGTACAGTGATGTTACACTATGGACGGTGGTACAGTGATGTTACACTAGTATGGACGGTGGTACAGTGATGTTTACACTAGTATATGGTACGTGATGGCACCAGTATGGACGGTGGTACAGTGATGTTACACCAGTATGGACGGTGGTACAGTGATGTTACACTTATATGGACGGTGGTACAGTGATGTTACACTAGTATGGACGGTGGTACAGTGATGTTACACTAGTATGGACGGTGGTACAGTGATGTTACACCAGTATGGACGGTGGTACAGTGATGTTACACTAGTATGGACAGTGGTACGGTGATGTTACACCAGTATGGACGGTGGTACAGTGATGTTACACCAGTATGGACGGTGGTACAGTGATGTTACACCAGTATGGACGGTGGTCAGTGATGTTACACTAGTATGGACGGTGGTACAGTGATGTACTCAGTATGGACAGTGGTACAGTGATGTTACACAGTATGGACGGTGGTACAGTGATGTTACACCAGTATGGACAGTGCAGGATGTTACACAGTATGGACGGTACAGTGATGTTACACTAGTATGGACGGTGGTACAGTGATGTTACACCAGTATGGACGGTGGTACAGTGATGTTACACCAGTATGGACGGTGGTACAGTGATGTTACACCAGTTGGACGGTGGTACAGTGATACACTAGTATGGACGGTGGTACAGTGATGTTACACCAGTATGGACGGTGGTACAGTGATGTTACAATCAGTATGGACGGTGGTACAGTGATGTTACACTAGTATGGACGGTGGTACAGTGATGTTACACTAGTATGGACGGTGGTACAGTGATGTTACAATAGTATGGACGGTGGTACAGTGATGTTACACCAGTATGGACGGTGGTACAGTGATGTTACACTAGTATGGACGGTGGTACAGTGATGTTACACCAGTATGGACGGTGGTACAGTGATGTTACACCAGTATGGACGGTGGTACAGTGATGTTACACTAGTATGGACGGTGGTACAGTGATGTTACACCAGTATGGACGGTGGTACAGTGATGTTATATGGACGGTGGTACAGTGATGTTACACTAGTATGGACGGTGGTACAGTGATGTTACACTAGTATGGACGGTGGTACAGTGATGTTACACTAGTATGGACTGGTGGTATGATGTTACACCAGTATGGACGGTGGTACAGTGATGTTACACTAGTATGGACGGTACAGTGATGTTACACTAGTATGGACAATGGTACAGTGATGTTACACCAGTATGGACGGTGGTACAGTGATGTTACACTAGTATGGACGGTGGTACAGTGATGTTACACTAGTATGGACAATGGTACAGTGCATTAAGGCTTTAAATACAGTGAACTATCCCCTTGAGTACAACGACAGTATTTAGAGGTGACGTCATTGGGCTACAGTGGTCTAAGTATTATTCCACCTCCCGAAAATTTCGCTCATGTATTTCATCTTTATTTTGGAATATTCTTAACCTAACCTACC